TTTGTTGTGATGGACTAATGCTATTGCTAAGATCCCTCTCATTCCTGAAAAAGAGCTTCTACAACTTGTTTTGTTCTTAGAATCTCCAACTCTGCTTGCCACAGGATCTTCCCCATTTTATTGTTCTTTACTCATCCATTTTCTATGCTTTAGTCTTAACGAACTGTATAGGACAGAAACGTAGATTTAAATGTGTTCCTAAGATGAAGCTTTTGTTTCATGAAGAAATTAGAGTATTGGCAGATGTCTTTTAATTGACACCTCTCAGATGGATACAGGATAGCTTAATCTGACTTGCTACATCTCAGTGCTAGTCACAATTTAGTTATTAATGAGATCAAACTTGGAAAGAATTGACTGACTAAAAACAAAGCTTTGAAAAGAGGGTTAATAAGGATAGATCTCATTTTCATGCCCTCCCAGGAAATTCAGCCACCAGCATTTCAAACAGCTCTGCTAGGGCCTGACTTCTAATGTCTGCAAGATCAGGGGAGCGCTCGCTATTTATATCACTAAATTTTTACAAGCTAACCCAAAGGAATGCTTATACAGTGCTCTAGTCAAACTCAAGAGGCTTCTAACAACACACTGAATAAATAAACACTCAGCTGTTATCAAATAACCAAAATCAACCAAGCCAGTGGCCATGTAAGTGCAGAACAAGACCATGCCATGCCTTTGTGCAACATGTGGAGAGACCTGCAGTCTGTGCAACATGTTGGGGTCCCTGCAGTCCTGCATCCAGCTCTGGGAACAACAGCAGAAGAGGGATGTGGAGCTGTTGGAGCGAGTCCAGAGGAGGACATGAAGATGCCCTGAGGGCTGGAGCACCTCTGCTATGGAGACAGGCTGAGAGAGCTGGGCTTGTTCAGTCTGGAGAAGAGAAGGCTCTGGGGAGAACTTAAAGCAGCTTCCAGTGTCTAAAGAGGCTGACAAGAAATGTGGAGAGGGGCTTTTACCAAGGGCAGGTAGGGATAGGACAAAGGGAAATTTATATTAGACATTAGGAGGAAGTTCTTCCCTGTGAGGTTGGTGAGGCCCTGGCACAGGTTGCCCCCAGAAGCTGTGGCTGCCCCATCCCTGTCAGTATTCAAAGCCAGGTTGGACGGGGCTTGGAGCAACCTGGTCTAGTGGAAGGTGTCCCTGCCTATGGCAGGGATTGAAACTGCATGAGCTTTAAGGTCCCTTCCAACCCATACCAGTCTGGGAAGGTGGCTGATAGAACACTGTTATGGAGCTTGTAATGACTTATATAGCTTTCTAACTTACCTGTATTAACAAAAGTGTGCTAGAAGAGATGCAAGATTCTGGCTACAATCTGGAGTCTGGAAGGGGAGCGCAGGCATGCATGCAGAGGTGGAGAAGGGCTCTCTGACTTCACATGTGTAATCTAATCTAGGCCATAATAATTTCCTACTGGCTCAGCATCAGTCACATCGTTAGCCTAACACTGAAATTAGATCTTGCCTGTCAGTGACATTTGACTTCCTATCTGGACCATCTCTGTACTGCAGTACTTCCTGGCTCAATTCCTGAGGGACTAACAATCCCAGTTATGCCGACCCAGACGTAGCAGAAAGCTTTTACTGAGCACTCCCCACAGACCAGGAAAGCCATCAAAGTAAGTGTTTCAATATGGCATTGCTCTCTTGTGTAAAATAAGAATATCTGTGTGTTACTATTTGGGGTCTTATTCCCTTCCAACTCCCTGCACTGATCAGAAACAAATAAAACACCAAATACTAAAGAGACACGTGAAGTATATCCCTTATTGTGCTGCTGTCGGCTCATGCAGAGTCAATTTTCTTCATAGTAGTTGGTATCGGGCTGTGTTTTGGATTTGTGCTGGAAACAGTGTTGATGACGCAGGGATGTTTTTGTTACTGCTGAGCAGTGGCTACACAGAGCCAAGGCTTTTTCTGTGCCTTTACCCCACCACACCAGTGAGCAGGATGGGGGCCCACAGGAGCTGGGAGAGAGCCAGGACAACTGACCCCAACTGACCTAAGGGATGCTCTGTACCACATGACATCATGCATAGCATGTAAAGCTGGGGAAACAAGAGAGAAGGGGAGGACATTCAGAGTGATGGCATTTGTCTTCCCAAGTCACAATTACATGTGATGGGGCCCTGCTGTCCTGGAGGTGACTGAACAAACACCTGCCTGTCCATGAGAAGTGGTGAATTAATTCCTTGTTTTGCTTTGCTTCAGTGCATGTGGCTTTTGCTTTACCTGTTAAACTGTCTTTATCTCAAGCCACAAGTTTTCTCACTTTTACTCTTCCCATTCTTTCCCCCATCCCAGTGGAGGGCAGTGAGCAATAATAATGAACTATGTGGGGCCGAGTTGCCAGCTGGAGTTAAACCATGACAATACATCAGGGTGTTCTGGCTATCAGAGACACCAGCGCAAAGTGCCTCCCAAACCCATTCATTCTAGGCAGGCCTTCATTTGCCAGTAGGTAAGAGGTTGCTCATCATTCCTTGTAACATAAATTTCTGGGGATTTGGCTCATCCTGAAGCAGACATTTAAAAAGTCAGATCAATCCTAGAAGTACTTTTTAGAAGGACTTTATCCTGGAACAGCTTGAAGGATATTAGTCATTGAAAAGACTGAATCTTGGACACACTCCACATTCCAGATTACCATGTAAAAATATAACATTTTAAACAAATATTTTAATGTAAGCAAACATTCAATTCACCCTTGCTAGCAAGCACAAAATGACTTAATTTCTATTTTTTTTCAAATACCAGCTGAGTTCTAACTTAGGATCAGCAAACGTGATACAGATTATCTTCTCCTGAGATCTTGTTCCCTTGCATTTCAGGAGGACTTAGAAGAGATAATGCACCTCTTACCTAATCACAAAGTCATTCTGTGGTCAAGATAATTTTTAAAGGTGTCTGATTAAGGACCTCAGGGTTCAATCACAAAAGAATTAGTTTAAGATCTGTCACTCAAAAAATTCGGTTTTAGCTTAGGTCTTCTTTTCCTATCAAAGTTTTAGTATCCAGGCTACTCCTTTCCCTTCCGCCTTGTATTTTTAATGACTTGTCTGCTTCTTGTTACATTTCCTTTACTGTGTATACAAGGCATCAGGGTGAGATAACACCCAATGTTTTGTGAAAATATATTAAAAATAAATTCCCACATATTCCCATAAAAGGAGGCTTCCATGATGTGTTTTTGTCATGACATGGAGCAAAAGAGGGGCACCCTACTTTTAAAATAGGTGTTAAACCAGAGACATGGGTTAAACTCAGACCTTCGGGTGACACGGGCACCAGAGGTAGCGTAACATTTTATTTTAGCTGGGGATTTAAACGCATAATGTAGTTTTATGGCATTTTCTTGAATTACATCAGATTTTCATCATCAAGACATATAATTTTCACTTTTGTTATTTATTTGTTAGATCGTCTCTAAGAGATGTGTTTTAGCATGTTTTAAACTGCTGTGGTCCTGCTCGGGGATATGTATTGATTTGGGAATTCATTTATTGACTATCTACGTTACTGCCAAATAATCTGTTTGCTTGTCCTCATCTACTTTAGATTCTGGAAGCAGTGTGGAAATTTCACACACCGCTCATTACATTGATGGAAAATATTGTCCAGGAGGTGATCAGAAGACTAGGGAACAGCATAACCATCTTGCTGCTCTGCATGCTGCCTAGGATTACTTATTTTGAAATCTTTGGCTGAAAATGTTGACATGTTAGGTAATGAATAAAAGTCACATCATAGAATCATAGAATGGTTTGGGCTAGAAGGGACCTGAAAGATCATCATCAAAGAAACAATTTTTTTTTTAAAAAACTTTATGGATTACAAAAAAGAAAAACCCACAAAACCACCTGCAAATGCAGTGGATTTCCAGTAAGTCCCTCCAGAAAACAAAAGTGTTCAGAAGGTTAAGTATAATAAACCTGTGACCTGAATGGTGAGGGGTGTGGGGTGAAGGAGCTTGCAAATAAGAATGCTATTTGGCTTTGTAGCCAGAGAACTGTAACTACAGAGCTGCCTAATTTATAGGTATATTTATGAAGACTTAAAATGGAAAGGATGCCATTTTTTTTTGCAGGTGCTCCTACTTTGCAGTTGAATGTGCTTGTGTGTCTCCCTGCTGCCCCATGGAGTAGGATGAAAAGGTAAAACAGGAGTCAGAACTTTCTCCGATTTTTGAACTTTGTCCTTTGTAACAGAGTAGGTGGAATTGGAAATTTGCTTGGCTGGAGCAAGGAATCTGGGGATCCAGTCGCTAAAAGGGGCTGACAAGAAACCTGGAGAGGAGCATTTACCAAGGGCAAGTAGGGATAGGACAACGGGAAATTTAGGTGAGATCTTAGGCAGAAGTTTTTCATCCCCTGTGAGGGTGGTGAGGCACTGGCAGAGGTTGCCCAGCAAAGCTGTGGCTGCCCCATCCCTGCCAGTTTTCAAGGCCAGGTTGGATGGGGTTTGGAGCAACCTGGTCTAGTGGAAGGTGTCCCTGCCCAAGGCAGGGGGCTGGAACTGGATGATCTTTAAGGTGCCTTCCAACTCAAGCTGTTCTGTGATTCTGTGATTCCTGAAGCTACAGCCTGTCTGCAGGGGTGCAGCCCTGACCTTAACTCTTCTGGGGGCCACTCAAGGCCTCCTGCCTGCTACTGCACATCAAGCTCGTTGTGTGACATGCTGATGCCACCACAACCAGCCACCATCCTCAAAACTGGCTGTCCGTGCCTGATGGGCAAAAGATGTGACAAAGAGGAGGCAGCTCTCCGTGGCTTTTCCCTGTGCGTGTGCGGGCAGCGAGGCCTGCAGCCCCCGCAGGATCTCCGTGCAGGCTCCCGAGGCCTACCCCCGCGCTGACCATGCAGCTGGGTCCAGCCCCCCGCCTCGGGGAGAGCCGATCTGGCGCTGGGCCGGGGAGGTGGCAGCAGGCGCCCACGGCCGTGCTGCGGGGCGGGACGGGGCGGGACGGGGCGGTGGCGGGCACCGCCCTCGGTCCCTCCCCCGGCCTCCCACCACCCACCGGCCTCGCGCTCCGTCGGGACCGAGCTGCCGAAACGGAGGAGTTTCGAAGTTTGTGGAGCAGCCGGCGCGGGGGCCATGTGGCTGCTGTGGTTGTTGCTGGGCTCGGCGGGTGAGTGCGGGCGGTGGCGGCAGCCCGGCAGCGGCGGCGGGGCGTGCTCCGCTCGGCGGAGGAGGGCTCCGGGCCTCCCTCCCTGCTTTCTCCCGCCTCCCCTCGCCGGCTCGCTGCGAGCAGGGCCGGGGGCGCCGCCGACCTCCCCTCCCCTTCCCATGGCCGCTCTTCCCTCCCATGGCGGGCCGGACGCGGGGCTCGCTGGGTGGGCCGGGCCTGGCTGTGGCGGGCGGAGACCCTCCCCTCAGGGCGGTCTCGGGGCCCCCGCTATAGGGTGTGTGGGGCAAGCGTGTGGCGAGGCATCGGGTAGGAAGGTTTTGTTGCGTCTGGGCCAAGCTTGGGCATTAAGACAGCCGAGGGGCTGCGGCCCCGCTGGTACAACCCGGGCCGGCCGACGCGGGCCCCCTTCTCTTTGCCGAGGCCTTCCTGGGGTGGAGGAGGCCGGGGCGGGCTCGGACAGACGCACCGCCGGGGTCTGTGCACCGAAGGGAAGCGCTCGGGTCCTGCTTGGCTTTACTTGGCGTCTTCACGGGGCATTTCCTACTTTTTATTAATACTCATCTTGTAGAAACTATTCCCCCCTCCCCCGGCCCGCATGTCTGTCAAAGCCGGCGAGTTGATGATGTTTTGTGCAGCTTTGCTGCAGGTGTGAATTATTTCTTAGCGGGCGCCTTTCCAGGCAGTGTAGGTAGCCTGCCTGCATGCTGCTGGCTCTGCTTTGGAATCGCGCCGTGGCGATGGAGTGATGACATGCAATGGATACAACTGATTATCAAGTTCCATTTCTTTCTTTTTCGAAGAATGTTTGTTGTCATGATGAGCTGACAAGTTTCATAGCTTCAGTGGTAAAAGTTTGTTTCGAGTGTGTAGATGGATAGGAAGGAAGAGAAGCACAATAGGACTTGTGCTGTTTTGAAATTAACTGCAAACCAAAGCAGCAACGTTCGTATGTCTTATGTAGGTTTGTCTCTTTGCAACACTACCTCAGCAGTTCCTTTTTTTGGAAAGCTTCAGGCCCAGCTCAGGTTTGTTTATCTGGATTGTGTTGCCTTCTTCCTTATTAATTTGCATTTACTACTGCCAAAACTTTACCTAATTATTCATAGCAAGGTGTAGTTTCCATGCGTTGCATATATTTGCTTGTAATATCACCCTTAGATTCACATGGAGGGTTCTATGCTGCAAGATACTGATCTTCACATGGGAAGATTTCCCAGCCACCCACTGGTGTTCCTGCTCCGCCTTGGCCTGGGGGCAGTGACCAAGAAGACCTGTTTCTCATGTGGAAGTTAGTACTTCAGCTTTTTGACTGCAAGCTGCCCTTCTTGAACAAGAGTTACCCTGCAGTTATTTAATGAGAGGCTTTGGCTTATTTTGGGGTAGATTCAAAGAGCTTTTCAAGCCTGTTAGTTTGTTGGGGTTTTTGTGATTCTGTTTTTCTTGTGAAGAATAAAGTATGGGATCTTTGATTTCTTTTTTAAATGTTGCTTTCTTTGTATGTTTTGGCAGCCCTGCAAGCTTCCCGTAGGGCAAATTAGCTTGTCTCTGCCTGGCCTTCACTCTGTTTTGAATTTTAATTGTGATAACTCCTGAAAACATTTCTTTTCCTGTTGATCATTTTTTGGGTACAGATGGGAAACCTTGAAACCCTGGGGATTGATTTCAGCTAACAGAAAATAACCACTGTGTAGTGTCTCTGTGTCTACAGTTCTGCTAGGTGCAGAAGTCTTGTGTTGGTGAAGATACGGATGGCAAAGTATTGATCTTTTGTTTCCATCTTTATTCCTAACATTATTACTGGATCACTTCGTGCTTTTGATTCTGAAAGACTTTATCTGCATGGGAAAGGTTTTATCTTGTGTGATATGTAGTGTGAAATTATAGTTCAAGGCTAGGTTGGATGGGAGATGAGCCATAATGGGGATAAATTCTAATGGATACTGGGAATGGCTTTAAGCTGACAGAGGGGAGATTTAGATTAGATATTAGGAAAAAGTTCTTCCCTGTGAGAGTGATGAGGTCCTGGCACAGGTTGCCCAGAGAAGTTGTGGCTGCCCCATCCCTGGCAGTGTTCAAGCCCACTTTGGACCGGGCTTGGAGCAACCTGGTCTATTGCAAGGTGTCCCAGCCTGTGACAGGGTTGGAACAGGATAAGCTTTAAGGTCACCAACCCAGAACAGTCTTTGATTCTATAATTCTGGTTTGATTTCAATTTGTAATTGCAACTGATAATCAATCAGAAAGAGGCTATTGATCTGAAGCTTTATCTTGAGCTCCCTCATGCGATGGCTTTCCTTTTCCAGTTCCCTCTCCTCATTTCAGGTTTCCTCAAGATCTCGGTATGTGCACACCCAGTCTCTTTCACCAGCAAGTGCCCAGGCAGATGAAAGCAGGTTGTGCCCAGTGCTGATCCACTCCTGCTGCCCTGCCTATTTTATCCTCTGACCCAGCTCCCAGTGGTTCCCAGTTCACTTGACTCAGTGTCAGCCCAGGAGTTCCTGGACATGAGTTAGGTCCTGCAGGGATTCCAGTTACCAGCTTAGGCTGTGACAACATTATTGAGTAAGTTAATGTGGAAGAAGGTTTATAAGTTAGAAAACAGACATCTATGTTTATCATCTTCCACAGTTTGCATTACTTCAATAATAAAAGCTGATCTACACACAGTTATAGTGAGTCTAGGGAAGGATTGCTTCAGAGACCTTCCAGTATATTATAGCTGAATAAACCAATGAAATGTAAACAGTCCCTAAAAGAAAAATGGATTATCTGTAATTCTGACTATCACTGTGCTTTATCTCCTATTCAAGGAAACCTGAATCTACTGAATATATTTGAATACAGATTTATGTATTTTTTTTCTTCAACCTGCACAACCTCCATTCAGGAGTGAAATGATGGCAGGAGTCACAAATATTTAGCTAAATGAACTGTTTTTTAAAAGTATGATTGCAAAGTGAGTGGAAAAGGAAGACTACTTTTTTATGAGAAGTACAAAACTTCCTGTTTGAATTGTGGAATAGGTCTTAAAAATGGCAGCTTTCAACTGGCTGGAGAGTCAAAGTGCGGTCAGTGCAGCACTGGAATTCCTGGGTGTGGTCCCCAAGATGTCACAGCTCAGTGGAAGGACCTTTCTGAGCCAAATATGCAGTGCATATATTATACCTTTTAACTTGTTCTGTGTTCAGGGAAGACTTTTGTGCCTTGTTCTCTAGCCTTTTGGTCTAATATTGTTGGAATCACGACTGTCTTCCACAGGCAGCATAAACATGCAGGCCCACACATGTGATTTTGTCGCAATTTGTCAGTAAATCTCAAATACTGTCAAAAAAAAAAAAAAAGCAGCATCCCCAAAATCAAGCTGGGGTAGGAGCTGCTTGAAGAGTAATATTGCCATGTTCATCTGCATTGTGTAATGTCTGCTAGCTGAAAACTTCCACATGCTACTAATGAAGTAGTATTTCCTTGCATGGGACTTCATTTGTACTAACATTCAGAGATACTGCTTTTAGTGGAGGTTTTCAAGCAAAGACATTCTACATACTGCATGGAAGAGCACTGCTGAGCATTGCCCTGTTCTACTGTGCAAGCAGAGAACGAGAAAACCACTCACTACTTGGAGAGCTGCATCTGTCCTGCTTATACTCTAGGTGTGTTTTGTATTTTTGATGCAATCTTCGGAAAAACTTTTAAACTGGGTCTAGTGGTCTATAACCAGTGTTTATCTCTCTTGGCACACAAGCCAGCAGTGGGCTTGTGTAGCACGTCAGTGTGTTGGCAATGGATAAAGATTTTTGTAGTGCCTTTGGCAAGTCAAGAAACTTCCAGTGTGGCAAAGTAGTGGGAGAAATAGGTGATACACAGTCAGCCAGCTATGTCCTGGGCTGCATCACTAGCAGGTCGAGGGAGAAGATTCTCCCCCTCTGCTTTGGTGAGAACCTCCTTCAGTCCTGTGTCCAGCTCTGGGGCCCCCAACACAAGAGGGATGTGGAGCTGTTGGAGCGAGTCCAGAAGAGGCCACAAAGGTGCTTCAAGGGCTGGAGCACCTCTGCTATGGGACAGGCTGAGAGAGCTGGGCTTGTTCAGCCTGGAGAAGAGAAGGCTCTGGGGAGACCTCAGAGCAGCTTCCAGTGCCTGAATGGGTGGCAAGAAGTCTGGAGAGGGGCTTTTGACAAGGGTCTGTAGTGACAGGAAAAAGAGGGAATTACTTTAAACTGACTTAAAACTGATTAGATGTTAGGAAGAAGTTCTTCCCTGTGAGGGTGGTGTGACACTGGCACAGGTTGCCCAGAGAAGCTGTGGCTGCCCCATCCCTGGCAATGTTCAAGGCCAGGTTGGACAGGGCTTGGAGCAACCTGGGCTAGTGGAAAGTGTCCCTGCTCATGGCAGAGGGTTGGAACTGGATGAGCTTTAAGGTCCCTTCCACCCCAAACCAGTTTGATTCTGTGGTTTGCTGAAGATGTAGGTCTGCCAGCAGTCATAATGAGAACAGCTGGGAAGTACTAACCTTAGTGCAAAGCTCCACATCCATGTTGGAGAGAATGTCTGGGATTTCTCATGGGAGCCAGCACCTGCAGACAGGTTCTCTCAGGATGAATTTCTGGTTATCTGGTTTGATGTTTGATGCTGTTGTCAGACTTCCCTCTTGCAGGGTCCTTTTTGATGCAGGGACGGAAATAAGGATATGGTGATTTTGTGGGTATCATGTAAACTTAAGGGATTTTGAGTAGTGTCAGGGAAAGTGATGTCTCCTTGGCTAGGCTTCCATAGGTTTCTGTTGCTCCTTGGGTGTTTGAAGTTGCAGTGATTAGGAGCTTCCAGTTGTCCATCCCACTTGGGATAACTGCCACAACAGTAACCTGCAGTTGTTGAGGGCTGGGAGGGTGAAAGAGTGATTGCAGTGTTGCAGTCACATGTTGTGATAGGAGGTGGAGATGGCTAGCTATAAAACAGGTTGTAAAAATGCACCTTTCGTTCAAATGTGAAAAAAAGCATTACAA